ATTAAGAACCACAAAAAGGGAACAAAATAGCAATAAACGTGTTCCATTTACGTAAGGGAAGTTGTGGTAGAGAAAATATGTATTCCTGTTCTGTTAATATAAATATAGGCTAAAAAGTGTATTATTGATTATTGGGTTTGGTCATTGGTATTGGTTATTGTCGTGTTGAACGCGTTATGTGTGTGTGTTATTTTGAATCGCAAATTGAGAGTTGAGAATCGTGTTGGGTAATTGTAATTACATCATTGTAAAACGACGTGCACTAAACAAGTGTAAATATCTGTACTTAATAAATATATACAAAAAATACAGTCCCACGTGTGAAGTGTCTTGAATCGTGAGCCAGCAACCAGCGTGACTTAAATCGCACTAAGTTACGCGACATTCCGAAACCAAAACGGATTTTAGATAAATAATCTTTGGAGTTTCCTTTCGCTGTGCCTTAGGTTGAGAGCTATTTAATACTGTACTTTGTATAAGTGTGCATTCGACCTTTATTTTCTTCGCATTAATAAATATTAAACGGTTAGACTTCAAGGTAGTAAAACATACCTCCAACCTTGCAAATTATCACAAATAGGTGTAAAAAGCTTTCATGCGGTGACATACAGTATTTCATAAAAGATAACACAAAAACAGACAAAATCCAAAATATGGGTTAATAGAGAGCATAAATAGCAGTGTTTCCATAGGCATAGTTATAGATGTTTTCGTTTTCGCTCTTGGCCATTCCTGGCTTTTTGTTGCAAATCCCCTACAACTCCTCCCTAAGTGGCAAAGAGGCGGCAGTTCGAATTACACCTAATTTCAGGGGTTCACGTGACCAGCCGCCATCAGGGTCCTTGCTGTAGCGCCGTGCGGAAGTAAAGACCCTCGCTTGCGAGGTTGCTCAATGTTGAGCTTGTGTCGTTCACAATATTAAATTAGGGGAGAAAGGGAGATGAAATTTGTTTTGTTAATGTACAGTACTAATACTTTGCAATATTGCCAGGAATAGCCCCAAGCGTTACGTCCATGATTGAAATTACCGCAGTTCTGATGTAAGCACATCATGGAAAAAGGTAAGCAACCATTTGAGTATTATGCCCTTGACAAAACTATAACATTTTTGTATGACTCAGATGCCTACCACTTTGGAACAAAAAGTGTCAGAATATAAGTATGTAAATATGAACCACTCACCCGTTCTTTTTCGAGCACTGTACCATCCTCAGGACATCTTGGGTTTGAACTCCTGAATAATACAAATAGTTATTATACTAGAAATACATGCATGCAATAACCCATCGCCTGTTTTCAAAAGATATATACTCAGTGCCGTTGCGAGCACTTCGTCGCAGGGGGGGGGGGGGGGG